GAAAACCGAAGGATTGAAGGAGAAAATGAGGGCAGGGGTGTATGGGCGGACGCAGCCTTGTACATGTATGTATACACGGAAAGGCTGAATGAGAGGTAGAGAGAGAGAGCGAGAGCGAGAGACTTAGTTACACGCCAAGAAAAAATACTGGTGAATGAGGGAGAAAAGATCCAAGGCATAGAGTGGTGAAAACCGAAGGATTGAAGGAGAAAATGAGGGCAGGGGTGTATGGGCGGACGCAGCCTTGTACATGTATGTATACACGGAAAGGCTGAATGAGAGGTAGAGAGAGAGAGCGAGAGCGAGAGACTTAGTTACACGCCAAGAAAAAACAGTGGTGAATGAGGGAGAAGAGATCTAAGGCATAGAGTGGCGAAAACCGAAGGATTGAAGGAGAAAATGAGGGCAGGGGTGTATGAGCGGACGCAGCCTTGTACATGTATGTATACACGGAAAGGCTGAATGAGAGGTAGAGAGAGCGAGAGACTTAGTTACACGCCAAGAAAAAATACTGGTGAATGAGGGAGAAGAGATCTAAGGCATAGAGTGGCGAAAACCGAAGGATTGAAGGAGAAAATGAGGGCAGGGGCATGCGGGCGGACGCAGCCATGTACATATATATATATATATATATATATATATATATATGCACGGAAAGGCTGAGGTGGAGTGAGACCAAGTTACGCGCCGAGTGAAAACAAGTTGAGCAGAGAGTTTGATCAGCAGGCCTATCTGAGAGGTGTCCTTCAGGGCCATACCCGTATAGGGTCAGGTACCTGTTTGAGTGGGAGAGTGGCACTGTTGGAGGCGCGTGCGACTTGCGCGAAACGGGCAGAGCTTCTCCGAGCTCAATGCCTCCCCTGAAGCCTTTGGCCTTGGTCCCTTTTGTTCGGTGCGTAGCTGCGCAATGGCGATGAGGTGGCTATCCCCCTGCGTGGCGGGGCGGCGATACCTCGAGGAAGTTAATAAATATGAGTCCTTGTAGCGTGCATTCAAAGTCTTAAGGCGCAGTAGGAAACTTGTCGGGCAACATTTAGTGAGGTGCTAGCTCCAAGGCGATTCTGTGGGATAATTGTGTAGACGAATGCAAGCACATTTGCGCCTTTTTGAGATATCCCTGTTTGCGCGTTTCTTCTCTCCGGCCACCTCCCCCGTCCTTCCCCGCCGTCCTACGCAGTTAGTCTGCCTGTGGCATCCCTTGGCGGCTGCCGGGACGTTCTCGTCTTCCGTTGTGTTCTGCGTGGTTGGAAGGGCGCGTTTTCATGTGCGTGTATCTCGTGTTTTTGCTGCTCTGGATAGTCGTCGGTAATGCGTGGATTTACCCACTGCTCGTTGGCTCTGCGTGCACTGGTAGAGAGGTGCTCCCGTTCGCGCGGTGTGCAGGGGAAGGGCCCCCTTAGAAGCCTTAAAAAAAATTTAGTAACTGTTTCGCCGTCTTCGCGGCATTTACATGAGAGCAACATACTTTCAAAACTGCGACGTCAAACACTGCCTCTCTTCCAGACTTACCCGCCCATACCCTAAATATACTTATAGGCGTGTACCTCCCATTCGCCTCTCTTCACTTGCTGACGCGTTCTCCTTGCGCGAGGATGCCTGCACGCTCCAGGTTCTCGTTGAGGATCTGCGCCCATCAGCGAGGTGTTAGCCAGAAAGCCACTGCTCCTAAGTCGGCGGCTCCGGGAGGACTGCGAAAGCGCCGCAAGGCGGAGTGGGGCCTGCGTGGTTTTTAGGGCCCCCCTTCTTGCCCCCTCGGGGAGGGAACTAGACGGTTTTCTTTTACAGTGGGCAAGCAGGTGTTCCTCTCTTTTGCGTTCCTCGACATTCTACGGAGGGCTAGTAGCTTCCCGCGCTGCCTCTCCACCCCATTTGCTGCCTCTTGGGCCCTGGTGCGCATGCAGCTTCCTACCCAGCACCGTCCTGGCTAAAGACTCCCTTTGACTCTAATGTGGCTGCGTTTTCACGCGCCGGCGTTTTGCTTACCGATGCCTTTCGCCTTGGGTATCAGGGGCTTCTTCAAAGGCGACACCTTCAAGGGGGATTTCACTGCTGGCGGCTTTACGAACGTCGTGGCAGCGCTGCTTTTGCCGCTGCCCCCTGCAGGGGCCTGAGACTTCGCTGCGTTCGCTGGCGTCGACACTTTTGCTGCTGCCTGCTGTTCTGTTGGTCCTTGCAGCTTTGCGCCTTGAGGCTTTGCCGATGCAGCCGGCTTTTTGTTCGCCTCGGCTTTCTCCTGTCCAGACAGCTTCGCCGGGGCCTCTTGCTGCTTGCTGCCCCCGAGGGGCCCCTCCTTCTTTGAAGTATGTTCATCGGCAGACTGTGGCTTTTTGGCACCCGGCTGGGCACCCTTGGCTTCCTTCCCTCCGGGGGGCCCCTTCAGGGCCCCAGACGCTGCCGCTTTGCTCGCATGCGTTTTCTTCGGAGGTGCTTGAGGTGTCGCCTTGACAGCTGCCTTCTGCGGAGCGGCCTGCTTGAGTTGCGACTCCTCCGGAGCCTTAGCCCCTTCCCCGCGTTTGACCTCCGGAGAGACTGCGCTCGCTGCTTTCGACGCGTCGGAGGGCTTGCTACTACTGCCCTTCACACTTGGAGCAGCTGCTCGGGAGGGGCTCCCGTCCTTGCTTCTGCCCTTGAGGTTTAGAGCCACTTTCTTAGGAGTCGGCGTCACCACCTTGGGGCCTGCAGAAAGGGGGCACCAAACAGCGAAGCCTCGCCACGATAGCAGAGAAAAGAGAATCTGGCCGAGTGCGAAGAAGGATCATATTGCACTCGGGAGGCCTCTCGAGACGGAACCCAGCAGCAAGGTCAACAACGACAGACACAGAACAACAAAGAAAAGACTGCTGCACAAGAGCGTGGGGGAGAGCGACCAAAGGGCCCCCCCCCCACAACGGCAGAGCAGTCTCGACAAGAGGGCAGGAAGATCACACATCTACCGCTGCGCGATGGCGCGAGGAGCCCCCCCAAAAATAAGAATTCCTCTCCATTTCCCCCTCCTTCTCCCTCCTAGCGGCACTTGAAGGCCTTAAGGGAAGGCCTTTAAGCCCGTAGAGCACGCACTTGCAGCGCTTCCAGCAATGACGGGAGACTCGCGGGCTTCTGAGAAGGACAGACAGCGCGAAGGGCAGCAAGGCAAGAATCTTCTAGCAAGCAAGCAAGAGCTACGCAAGTCGCATTCACCAAGAAACACGAAGCAGTGCCAGACAAACAGGCGGAAGCTTGTCAGCAAGCGCTGATGAGAGCACACGACCTCTCTCGTGACAAAGTCCATTTACGGAGCACGAAGACAATATAAGCCCCCCGCATAGAATAAACGGCCTTCTTCTTGCCGTATGGCTTCTCACAAGCCAATAGATTTAGCGATTCACTGGAGGATCGAGAGGTGCCGTCTCTCTCTCTCTTTAGGCCCTTACACCCAAGAAACCCCTCCAGTCCCGCCAAGCGGTGCCTTGCCCCTCGGCCTCCCTCTTCCCGAAGAAGATGAGAACGCACGATGTGAGGAACCTAATCTCCGTGCAACAAAGTGCCTAATGTTGAGGGTAAGAAGCTGCAGGCTTGGCGACTGCTGCTTTCTGTCTGCGCGCTTGGGCCTATAGACTCGTTGGCATGTACGGCTTCGCGAGAAGCGCGAGGTAGAAAGACAGCAGGGCAGCAAGCTAGCACACCGCGGGGCGAGACAAGCGCTCAGCGGCGCCTTCTTCTAGTTAGGAAGCAACGATCGCTTTCACGCCACCCCAACAGACGGCACACACGAAAATCCCACGAACTAAAACGGCAGTTCGGGCGCAGACAGCAACGCACGAAATGCTTCTTCTTCAACGTATTCAAGAAGCTATATATACATACATATATTTATGTATGTATGTGTGTGTGTATGTGCAGCATGTCGTGTACTGTTCCTTGCCTGTATCGGTTGCTGCATCGGACTCTACGTAGAGGCCGTACTCCTCCTCAACACCAGGGCGCCAGACACCCGCCTCGATCAGCTCGAGCACTTTACGCCTCACTTCCTCGTCTTTGTATGCGTCGACTTGCCCTGTAGCCTTTTTCTTTCGCCGCCGCAAACGCAGCCCATAGGACCGCAGCAAGGCCCTTACCGCAGCCCCCCTATTTTTGCCTTTTCCGCCTGTTGGGCTGTCTGCGCGATCCTTACCTCGTTCAGCTGCCAGAGCGCGCATGCGCTCAAGCGTCCCCGCCGAGAATCTGCGGGCGAGCTCTTCTTCGAGCATTCGACGTTCAGCGTCCTCTTCGGCTTCCTCTGAGGCGGGGAGGCCCTTGCTGTTCGCGGCTTTGCTAAGATCCTTTGGCTCTGCCTTCGAGGAGGCGATGCCTTCTCCTTTGGGTGCTGGACCGCCGGCTGTCGCCGACGCACCGTGGCTTTTTTCGTCCGTTCGCGGTTTGCTCTTTCCCGCGCTTTTCTGGGCAAGCTCCTCTGCCTTTCCCTGCACAGGCGATGCTTCTTTTCCCGGAAAAGCTCCTCGTCGCGCGTCAGAGGCCCCCTCTTTCTTCGACGCTGTGGCAGCCCTACAAACAGTCGGACAGATTATTTACCAGCAACACGAGCTGTGCTACACCCCTAAAGTCGGGCAGGAAAAGCAGCAGCAGCAGCAGCGGGTGTGTGTGTGTGTGTGTGTGTGTGTGTGTGTGTGTGTGCCTCTGGTGACTTTGAGATCGAACGAGGTCTCCAGAGGCAGCATCCACGCGCGCTAGCTACTTCCTCTGCTACAGCCTTACGGTGTGGCGAGGGCTGTCCTCCTGAGCGTCACAACTAGTCTTGCGACTGCAGCGCAAAGAGAGAGCGCGCATTAAACGCATGGAAACGCAGCAAAGGGGCTCTCTGCTTTGCGTGAAGATGCATGCAGCAGGAGCGGAGGGAGCAAATTGAGCAGCTAGGCCGTCTTTCGCTTGTAAGAAGCGATGATCAACAAAGAAGGCAAGCGAAAGCACATAAGAGGGGCCGCAGAAATAAACACACAAACAAACAAACCTGTCTCCATCTCTCCGGAAGCATTTGCCTTCCGAATCTCGATCTCTTCGTCTTGCTCTTTGCCCTGCACATAAAGGGCATCTTTTAAGCGCGAATTTCGCTTCGGTGCAGGAGGCAAGCTCAGAGAGCCATTTCACGGAGATCCACCATTTCGGGCGTGAGCTCTGTGCAGCCTACACTTATGGTGTGGAGCGGCAGCCATCCGGAAGTCGCCAAAACTCCTGACGCTCCGTCTTTGCCGATTTCCACGATCGACAGGCGCATGCCCTCCTCCTTCTCCCGAGGAACCCACAACTGCAGCAAGGAGGCACAGAAGAGAAGAAGAGAAGAACTACGTAAACTCCACGCGGCAACTCTTTGTGCATGCAACAACCTTCGCGGGGAAGGGCCTTCCGTCTTGGAGCGCCGGCCTGGGGGTGGCTGCCAACACTCCGAGAGGAGACGTTCTCCCCAAAGTTTTGGGAGTCGCTCTCGACAGCTAGTGTACGGTTCTGGAGGAAGAGCTGCTTTTTTATACGCATATTTAGGTGGGCACGTGCTGCGCTGGTCTCAGGGGGATGGATGCTCACTGTCTCCTCGATATTGCATACACGGGGGGGGCCCCCACGAGGCTCAAGTCGAGTTGCGTGCCTCCCTGTAACGAGACTGCCTGGGTGTTCGGCCTGCGCAGATGAAGCAGACAGACAGAGACGGCTCTGTATTTTTGCTGCTGGAAGTCACATGTGTAGCGGGGAGAAAGGCGAGAAGCGGGGGGCGAGGCGGAGAGGGGCCTCTAGTCCACACTGGCGGTTCAAAGGGCGCTAAAAAATTGCTACCAGCGGGAGGGGATTTTCCTTGACATCGTGGAGGACGATCTGGAAGATGCGCTGCTCTTTAGATTCACCCTTTAGATCCCTGAAGAAGCAAGGGGAGCCTCAACGTTTGGCAGACATGTGCCGCAGTGCCAGCCGCAGCCTCGCCCCCCCTCAGCAACGCTTTGCACCCACGTATGCAACAGCAGCACCCATTGGAAGGGGAATCAAAGCTTCTTTCTTACTTAAGGTAAGAGATGTGAAAGGATACATATTCCTTGGCTGCAGAGAGGGATGCCACAGCAGGAACAAGAAGGAGATTGACAGGTGCTCTGTGAGACCAAAGGCCCTCGCCCCCTTTCCGTCAGCCCGTCCTCTGCAACCAACAAAACCTTCGGGATGCGGGGTATATATACATATAGATATACATATAAGTATGTACACATGTACCCCTCACTCCCGAGAGACGCCTATATATCTACTGGCAATACAAGGGGGTTTCTAACGAGCCATTCCTCTGTATCTAGACACGCGACTGCCCTGTGGAAAGACTCTTAACGCGAGCGAAGGCACTCGAAAGGCTTTGTGCATCCCTAGAGGCAGAGGGCCTTCTTTTCTGTGTTTCTCACACGTACTCTCTGTCGGCTTCTTGTCCTGAAGCACAGCACGCGCGCGAGCTTTCTGCACATATATATATATATATATATATATATATCTTGAACGGAGATGCATCAACAAGTGACAAGCTGGCGGCAGTTTGGTGAAGGCAAGAGGCAGGGAAGAGATCATAGCAAGCTTCGCAAAGACAGAGAACTTGATGCTCTTACCATTTCAGAATCCTTGGAGTCTCCACGCTGTGTAGTTTTGGAGCTCCCTGCAGCCTTCATGCTCTCTTTCCTTTCAGGAGGCCCCCCCCCCTGCTCGCTTTTCTTTCGAGAGATCGCCTTATCAAGCTGCTTGTCGGCCTCTTCCCCTGCCAAGCGCTTAGACAGCCTTCGTTCGAGCTCTGCCTTTTCTTTGGGGGGAGGCATCGCTTCGACTTTTTCTTTGGGGGGAGGCATCGCTTCGGCCTTTTCTTTGGGGGGATGCATTGCTTCGACTTTTTCTTTGGGAGGAGGCATCGCTTCGACTTTTTCTTTGGGAGGAAGCACTGCTTCGGCCTTTTCTTTGGGGGGAGGCATCGCTTCGACCTTTTCTTTAGGAGGAAGCATCGCTTCGGCCTTTTCTTTTGGACGATCGGGTTCATCTTTAGAAGGCAGAGGCTCCGTCTCTTCCTTCGGACGAAGGCTCTCTCCTTCTGCCTTTGGAGGCGCTTTGAGGGCCAGTGCCTCGTCCTTAGGCGCAGGAGCTGCAACCGAAGGGCTGACCACCATCTTGGGAAGGGTAAGCTCTGTTTTTGCGGGTATTATCTCGACTTTAGGGATCAGAGAAGCCCCTGCTTTGGATATTCCTCCTTCTGAAGACTTCGAGGGGGCAATGTAGAGGCCTTGGGAAGAAGGGAGCAGAGAGGGTGAAGGCTGCGGGAGAAGAGAGACGGCAGAACCGCTCAGTTTGGAGGGCACAGCAGTGGAATCTGATGCTTTTTCGGAGATCAGCACAGAGGGTGCTTTTTTTCCACCAGGTTGGGCAGCCTGCGACAGAAGGAGCGACGATGCTCTTTTAGTTTCGGCTGCTTTCTTCTTGGAGGCAGAGATCCCTGAAAGGCAGAGAGCGACAGACACGGTTGTTTGTTGTAAGGCCTGCGGAGCTGGCAAATGGGCATATGGCTAACAAGCTGGTGGAATACTGCTGTTTCGCGAGCTCTACCACAAAACAACAATGCCATGCTCTTTTTTTCCGTCCTGCTGTTTACCTCCCTCCTCCCCTCCCTGATCCCCTCAAGGAGGAAACAGAGAAGCGAGCAGGGCATAATTTTCCAGGAGAGGACTCACCGGAGGTTTTGGTACTGCCAAACTGCGCCGAAGACTTTGCGGGAAGAAGGGAGATCGACTTGCAAGGGCGTGAAGTGGAGCCATTGCGGGAAGGGGCCTTAGAGCTCGCCGATACACTGGCGTCAGCTGCATGCAAACGCATCCAAACGCTTTCCTTTGGAAAAATTGCACGCGCTGCTGCTCACACCGGCAGAAACAGGCGCCCTTGCACAACTACTATAAAGACAAAAAGACACACAGTCCCCGTCATAGTCGATAGACGCTATGCTCTCCCCTTTTTTATTCCTGCGAAAAAGGCCGGTGCTGCGCCAGCCTGGATGATTTTTTTTGCCTTCCTTTTAGGCGCAGCCTTCCTCCTTCTCCTTTCCCCCTTCCTTCCTTCCCCCCTCTCTTCTTTCCCCTCTCCCGTTCGAAGCTTTATTGCATGAGCGAGCAGGGCAGGAGCTGCTGCGCGTGCTGGGGTTGTGGCAGGAGGGACAGTACATACCGCTTGATTGGTCAGGCAAGGAAGCTGAAGCCATCAGGCTTGCCTGAGCCTTTACGTCTTTCTCTCCAATGGCAGCGCAGGTCGGTCTCTGCAAAAGGCCCCTGTGTTCGAGAATGCTGGAACGCATCGTTTCGTCTTTGCTTGTCGCTACAGCACACACACACACACCACACATACATACACAAGAATGCCCCTTCTCCCTCACTCCCTCAGGAGAACGCTTGCTTTCCGACTGTTTCTGCCCCCTGGCAGGCGTCTTAATTGCTACTCAGTACGTGTCCAGCAGTGCTTTCGCAGGAAAACAAGCCGCCAGCTTGGTGCGGGTGGCGCTGATGAACTACACCATACGTGATTCTGGAGAGTTCGACGAGAGAAGAACCTCAATGGGAGCAGCCTGCGGAGAGCAGAGGCAATCTTCATAACTAGTATACATACATATATATATGTATATATACACATCTATATATCTAAATGTACCTAAAAATATATATACATATATATGTACATGTTTCCAACCCCACTCCTGAGGAGCCCCTCTGTATCGCTCGCCTTCAGTCCGCACCCCGAAGCCGTAGCTTCTCTATTTCACCAGGTCCTTACCCCTGATTTTTTTTAACGGCCTGTTGATCAAGGCGGCAAGTACTAGGCGTGGCTAGAAGAACCCGACACACAGGGGACTGGCACTTACGGCGAAAACGAGCTCTCTCTCGGGACTAATTACCCTTCCATCTTTGAAGTAAAGGGCAAGACCATCTGTGCGCCGCATGCCTTCCCAGTGGACAGCATGAACTGCTCTGTACGCTGGAGCCTTAGGGCTTTGCGAACGCACAGAGCGCGATCTATTGGATGGTTTGTCTAATAAGGACCGCTTCGAGGAGTCTCTCCCCCTCTGCCCATCCTCGAAGCCTCGCCGACCCTCTCGCGGCTCGGTGCTGCCTGGCCGCTGCCGCTGCTGCGATTGCCAGTGCGAAAGCAAAGCAGGCTGCGAGTCTGACAGCTGGCTGTGCCTCCGGTGCCTTTTTTGCGCCTCTTCCGGCGAAGAGTGGGGGTCCCCCCTCGATCGACCACCGCCAAGGCGGCCTCTCCCGTAGTATGCGCTCGAGCTGCTCCCTGCTGCGCCTTCCAAGAAAGCGGACTGCTGCTGCTGCTCTCGCTCCTGCAGCAGCTCCCAGTGACTCTGCGGCAGTCCGCGCAGCGCCGCTGCAAGATCACGCCTCGCCTTCTCTATGGCAGGATGCAGGTGACTGCTGGAGGCCACAAATGCCACCGCTTTCACCATGTTTCTGCTGTTCGGTCCGGGCATGGATTCAGCATACTTGCTCGCTTCCTGCGCGAAGAGGGGGGTTATGCAGTGACAGACACCCAAGAGTGCGTGCAGCAGCAGAGAAAACTCCGAATCAGACTGCGTCCACAGCACACCACATCACACACAATACACCACGCATCACACACAATACACCACACATCACACGCAATACACCACACATCACACGCAATACACCACGCATCACACACAATACACCGCGCATCACACGCAATACACCGCACATCACACACAATACACCACACATCACACGCAATACACCGCACATCACACACCACACGAATGGCAAGACTGCTGCAAGAAGGGCACCCCGGCAAAAGCGTTTTCCTTCCCCATCGAGCTCTGGCTGCCCCCTACAAAGGCGGCCTCCGTCATCACCCCTCTCCGGCGAACAAAAAAGCGCTTTCTGCCGCTCTCGTTGTATGCTTGTTGCATCTCTCCCACTCCCTCTCGCCCTCTTGAGGTCCTCCTCGCCCCTGCGCAAGGCCCTAAGCCTGCATAATATCTGCCTGTTGTCTCCTTGCCTCTGTGGACCCTCTTTTTTCCCGCCTTTTCAGCCTGCTTTCCTCAACGCCAAGCCACCAGCCCCCCTTCCTGCCCGTTCTCAGACGCCTCTCACCCATGGGCCCTGCTCTCCTGCTCGCTCAACGCGGCCGTCTCCGCCTGACGGCTTGAGCCTAGCCATCTCCCCGATCTTGTAGCGACGCTGTGCCTCCCGACCATCCGCCAGCTCTGCAAAAAGAGAGGGCATCCGCAGACTTGCGCACCGGAATAAAGGCTCGCGCAAAGAAGATCGACACGTGAGGCCGCAGGGGAACGCCACCACACACGCGCAGAGTGCCTTTTTTTAAGGGCAGGAAGCGACTGCACGTCAAGCGCCTCTTACGCACTCCCCCCTAGGAAACAGCCACGACGTGCTTTGTTAGCAGAGAAGGAAAAGCATTTGGCGTTTGAAAGCCTGCGCAGCATGCAAGTGTGGTAGTGGGCCTCTGCAGGGATGTCTGGAGGCGAAGGGAAAAAGGGAGACAGCTTGCCTCTTCTGAGCCTCTTTAGCTCGGTTTCCATGGGATTCTGTCTCTGTAACGCCTTCTGGTAAAGGAGATAGTAATTTTGAACCTTCGTTTGGAGCGTTGCCACTGCAGCAAGGCCCAACAGACAGCCACCAGCACAGCACACAGAAGCGTCTGGAACCGCGCCGCACAAACAGTGCCTCAAAAATCGCCCTGCACGCGACTCAAGAGACGGGCAAGAAGAAGAGAAGCAGATGAAGGAGAGATGGCGACCGTGCGGATGTGCGCCTAACTTCTCATCCGTAGCTAGCTAGCCCCTTCCCACCCCGCCCGCTTCCCTCTATCGCTTGCCGCATGTGCCTCCAATCCTTCTCTAAAGAAGTCTCACTTTCCGCCTCGACGGCAGCCCTCTCTCCGACCGACAAGGGGACCGCTCTTCGGTTCATCCTCTCTAGAACTTCAGCCTTCTCCTCCCTCAAGCGTAGCTTCTCCACAAGGCTTAGAGCCTCTCTGAGGCACATACCCACAGGAGGCCTCACGGCAAGGCCCCTCCTCTATCGCCCCTCTCCAGCGACGCCCCCACACCCACGCACGCGCCCTCCCCTTCTGCCTTCGAAAGCAGAAAACTTCTGCTCTCTTGCCCGCTTTCACCAGTCCCTTCGCCAACAAGCCTCCAGGGATGGGCGCATGCACTATTCACTGTGCGCCTTTCCAGCCAACCACACACATACGGCTTGCAGCCGGAGGCACACGAAACGAAAGCACCACGCGCAACCTTCCCCAGAGCACTTCTCACTCGCATGAAAGGAAAACTCTGCGAGTGCTCAACAACACACTGGGCTGCAACCGCTCACGGAGGCGCTGCGAATCCGGTTGTGACGTAGGGAGCCCGTGGGAGGAATTCGGCAAGATTCTTGTTGCTCTCTCTTTCCAGAAGCATCTGCGCCTTTTGGACCGCATCAGCCGCCTTCGCTTGAAGGTCTTCGGCTGTACACGGAAAGTCTTTTTCCTCTGGGGCTGAGGAGTGCAGCAAGAGAGAAAACAGGGAGGCAGAGGCTTCACCCGGATCGGCGCGCAGTATGAGGCCTCACCCACCCGGAGGCACAGGATGTCACAGACACACCTGAAGAAGGGCTTTTTAAGAATTCCTCCTGAAGTCTCGGCCCTGAAAAACGTCTCTGTTCACTGGAATTCGATCGCCTCCAAAGCGAAGAGGCTTTACGCTGGCGTTGCGTGGAAGGTGGCGAGGGCTGGGAGGGCAAGAACGGCGGCTGCCGCTGCTGCTGCTGCTGCTCGTCAGTTTTTGTTGGCCCCTGTGTGTCGCGAGCTGCGTACAATGTGGTGCAGGCAGACATCAACACACTGAGCCACAGTGGCAAGTAGGCAGCAGGCAGAGGCCGCAATATGCGCCGCAGAAGCGTTCGTGATAGGGGTTTCTGAGGGAGATTTAGGGGCCTCTGTGATAGCGCGGCAAGGAAGGGAGCTGCCGAGCCGACTGATTCCCTCTAAGGTCCTCTTCTCAGGAGAATCGAAGAAGACTTGTCCACGGTAGGCGTGTAAATAGCCTTGAGGAGGCTATGCTGAACAGGCACTGCGACATACCGCGTGATTCCTTCTTGCG